ATCAGGAAACCATTCGCATCTGACCACTGTCAACGTAATGTGTAGCTCAATGCATCATCATCAAATCAAATCATCATATCTGATATAAATTATATAAATCATATCACATCATCATCTCATGAACTTATAAGTTATAAAACATGTGAGCGTGAGATATTGAGAGGAGGCTCTCGAGAAAGCGTTGGGCAACGAGAGCAACAGCGACGGTGAAGATGACAAGGGCGCGGATGGTGATGACATTGCCAGTGACGCTTCAAGTGAATTTCGGCTTGGGGGTGGCAAGGCATCCAAGTCCAGCGGAAGTAAGGCAGCTAAAGGTGCTTCGAAGCCTCAGCCACCAGCAAATTCGGGTGCTTCCGTCCCAGAGAAGAGGCACAGGGCCAAAGGTCCCGGAGCGCCCGCAGCCGTTCAGTCAGAGACACCTCAAATCAATAGCAAGGCCGTGGAGAAGGGCAAGGCGGCTCTTGAGCAGGCCACGAAGGTTTTGGGGACTTTGGCACCATTGACCCCTTCGGGCATTTGGAACAATGCCTGCAAGGATGCTGATGTCACTGCCCGATTGAAGAAGGCATCTACCACCGCTTCACAGCTCTCACAGCAAGCCACAACTCTGGGAGGGTCTCCAGTCCAGGGTGAGTTGGAGGGTCTGGCGAACCAGCTGGAGAAGAAGGTCAACGCCATAGGCCAATTTCAAGAGGTTCTTGGGAGGCTGAAGGCAGCCAAGCAGGTCTACCCAATTTTGACTGACGGAGATTTGGTCACCAAGTTCTCTGAAGTGCTGCCCCAAGTGGAGCCGGACACGTTGTCAAACCTGCTGATGTCTGTGGGGCAGAGGTTGGCAGAGGTCTGGGCGACCAAAAGCCATGAATGAATACACTAGCCCTGGCCCTGGCATTTTAAGCCATCACAAAAGCCATTTCACCGAACTGGACCACTGCAACATATTCATATATTCATGCATTATTTATATTATCATAACCATAGTCCATAGTCTACGGTCTACGCCTTATTTTTTGTGCAAAGCTGGGTTCTTGGGATCGACTAACATTACCCTTTTAGGAACAAGCTGCAGCGGCATTCATGCGATTCGTGTCTGTCAAGAAGGAGTCTGAGTCCGCGGAGCCTCATTTCAACTTTGGCTGCCTTTTTGGCCAGACAGATGCCCTGGACCGCATGCTCCTTCGGACTCAAATGACCCTGGTGCATGCATGGATGGAAGGCTTCAAGACCTTGCCGATGGCAAAGTTCACAGGTATGTCAAAGAAGGGCTTGAGAGATTTGGATTTTGCAAACAATGTCAACATCTTGAGGCGCCTCAGGGGTTGAATCACTGCGGCTGCCTCTAACATCCGGAATCCTATCCTTTTATCATTTGTCATTGATCATTGATCATAATCATTTTTCATCTTAGCAATGAACACTGTGACACGTTGACATTAACTTACACATTGCACTGGTGAAGAAGGGCCGTTGCAAATTCTTCCAAACGGGTTGTTGTGCAGCAGATGTTCACGGCAAATCGTAGTAGGGGCAGAGCCGAGCCAGTGTTTTGCAAACGCGTGCACTGAATCCATCCTACTACTACATAGGTTCCAGGTCCCGACAGTTTTATAACATCACATCAGTTCACATCTAATCGATATTTTTCCCTGAGGGCTGGGCTGAATTCAAATGACCCGATGGGCATCACAGCCTTGGACAGCAACATCTTTGACAACCAAACAGGCTTCACCATGCAGGCATTGGTCGACCTTCAGAAGCTGGTTTGCTGCTTCTCCATCGCCCACCTCGAGCACCAGTCAGAGCCAGTGACCAACGTGCACCGTGTCCATTTCCGGGCTGCCTCCACCTGTTCAGACGTTTCTTCACGCGTGACACTGGCTTTGCGGCAAAGCCAAGCTTGGAAGTACCTTGTTTGGTTTGGTCTGGTCTGGTTGAAGTTCTGAAATTCAATGCCATTCGCTGAAGTCACGGGGAAAGCGTTGTCCTTCCAAGTCCTTTCCTCTTGGTGTTGATCTGTTGATCAAATTTTGAAAGGGCAGGGATGTGCGGGTTTCATACTGCAAAAATCTGAAAGTCTGAGTCTTGAGAAACACTGAGGCAGCTTTGGCAAAAGGTTGTGACTGAGGGCAAGAAGGCCGTTGACAAGGATCGGATGATCGATGCTGCTAAGGCTCGCCACACCTCCATGGATGCACTTCTTGCGGTCTTGAAGGACAAGGGCTCTGGCACTGCAGATGTTCCAGTGCTTGATTACACCCAGAAGAAGTTGATCTCAGAGTGCTCCGACAGTGATCTCAAAACTCTGATTTCTGAGCTTGGCAGCGTCAGCAATGAGAATGAGGAGGCGCAAACCATCAAGAACCTCTTGGAGGTGGATGTCGAGTGCTTGTCGACTCTTCTTCCTACCTGGGTCGGACCAAACCTCCAGACCATTGACAGCTGGGTTGCCAAGCTTTGGATGGTCACCGAAGGACCAAAATCTGTCATTTGCGAGGAGGCAGATGGTTTTCAGTGGCTAGAAGCCTTTACTCTCCTTGGTTCCTTGTCAAATTTATCAGAATGAAATGGACCGGACCCGTAATTGTAACCCAGGATTCCAGGATTCATTAGTCTAACTGTCTACAGCTAACTGTCTACAGCTACTATCACTCCTGGACATCAGATTTGTTGATGTGTTTGAGCCTTGCCTCTTACCAAAGAAAGAAATGTGACTTGAGGTAGCCTGATCCGCATCATTGATGTGAAGACCGCTTTCGCAATGGACAACATCCTAGAGTTCGTCCAATTGGTCAAGGAGTTTCAGGGAGCTTGTGTGAAAGCGCCGGAAGAAGTCATTTTGCAGATGGCCTGCAGGTTGCACTTCAAGTTGCGCAAAGAAGTGTTTTCCCGGCGGCACCATGTGGAGCGTGAGGCCTGTGACCCCACAGTGCTCAAGCTCTTCACTGCGTGCACAGCAGCGCTGGAACGCCTGGCAGAGAAGCTTGATTCTCAAGGCTTGGCGTGGCTCAAAGCATCCATGGCTTCTGACAAGACAGTTGACCCCAGGCAGACATTGTGCCACCCAACGCCCTATCTTGAGGCTTGCATCATGACGGCCAGCATGTGCACTGGTAACAGTTTTCCGTCTGACATTGGTGAGTCGCTCGTGGAGTTGGCTGAAGTAATGCCCGACTACACAAAGGTTTCATCGATCAACAAAGACCTCATGAAGGACATATCCCCTGTGCAGCTTGATATGTGCATCGACTTCAAGACGAAGGTCGAGGGCAAGCTGCGGGAGCATGCCGATTCCTTCAAGAGCACAATCAATCAGCTGGACAGGCTGAACAAGAAGTTTGAGCCCTTCGGGATGCAATCAAAACAATTTTGGCTGGTTTCCCCAAGTCTTCAGTCTGCATTGAATCGTCCGCAAACTTCCTTGATGTCAGTCGCAGTTGTGCCAAGTGCTAAGTTATCAAGAGTCTAGTCAAGTCAATTTTTACGAGGCAGACACAGCAGAAGAAGAAGCCTATTGTAGACTTTTTGGTGGACATGGTGACATGCTTATTATTATATAGATTATTTATATATATTATATATTTTTTGACTACTGTGACACTGATTAACTCGGTTTTATAGCATTACTGTACTTACTATTTTTGTTGGAAATTGGTTTGGAAAGCCGTGCAGGTGTGTGAAGGGTGCTGCGGCAAATTGGGAAATGGAACCAGTCCTTTGGATGTTCCAAAATTCCCCAGACTGTGACAGTGACACTGCCATGATGCTGGAACTTCGCTCTGACTTGTCTCAGCTCGCCGGTGCAGTCAACAAGATTTGTGCGTGTGGGTTCAGCGGCAAAGACAGTGCCTACTTTGAGACGATCACCCGTGAATTGAAAGACATTGCATCGGATGCGCAGGCCAAGTGACCAAATAGTTTAAGCCGAGTTGGTTCACTGCTGAGATTATTAAATATTGACATTGACATTTTTCACTTAAATTCGCACATGTTGTCCGACTCGTGAGTGAGGATTTGCAACCTGAATCCTGTCGAGGCTGTCCGTACCAGTGTGGCGGAGACTCTTTCAGTGATGGTGGCCTCAGACGTCTTCCTGAATCCAAAGCATGCTGGACAAACCAGCGCCGTGCTTCCCAAGGTAATGAACTACCTTGGCACCAAGCTTGGCATGACCTTGAAAGATTTGAAGGAGATTGCCCCGAAGCTTGCTTCTCAAGTGGCTCAAGCCCTTGGTTCTAGCAGCGACTCCAGCCGCAAAAGGAAGACAGAGCTGGAGGCAAATGCGCAGAGTGCGCCTGCCGCGCCTGAGAAGAAGCGCAGGGAATCCAAGGAGAAGAGTGAGCGCAAGCGAGCTAAGCCGCTCTAGGCACTAAGCACTACAGTGCTTGCGGGTTTGTTGGACTGAGTGCTGGCGTAGCGTGGCGCCATAGAGCCAGGGCCAAAACCAGTAAACAATAAAACCTAAGTTCATGTTGCTTGTATAAATACTGTTACTGTTACTGTATATAAACCAGAACCTTTGGCGGCGGCTGGGGCATCACAGGCACAGCACTCAGTGCTTTTGATTTTGAGTCTGGGATGTGAGATGAGATGTCATCTGTCAACCTCCACGTCGGAGTTGAAAAGGTGCTTGCTGAAGCAGCCGGAGTGACCTTGACCCATGAGCAGTTGGACTCACACCTTTGTTTTCACACGATGTCACGCTGCTGTGCTAGGGGTAACCGTGGCAAACAAGTGAACCAGCAGATGTGTTCCAAGATAAGCATCCATACCTTCCCACATGATGCACTGGACAGTTTCCAGTGTTTGCTTTATAGTTTCAAGTGGTTCTTGGAATAGTTCCTAGGGTTTCCTTATATAGTTCCTAGTGGTGCTGTGTAGCCACACACAAACAGACATTCACTGGTTACAATGTCTTCATTGTTTCTTCTATTCCGTTGGCAATCCATCACAGGTCACTTCACTGCAATTCTGGCCTTTTTTCAACCCCACCCCGGCAGGCTTTGACATCGTGAGCGAATACTTCGAACAACAGAGGCCCGGGCCACCGGACAGGCAGGGACTACGACCGACGCACACGCGGCACGTGTCAGGCACTCGGATCTGCCATCCTTTGCGGAGATGACCGTGCAGAACAAGGATGACCGGTGGTGGCGACCCGGTTTGGGCCATGTGCGGAGTTTAAACCGTGGGGGGTTTGGTGATATCGCAAGTTTGGTGATTCAAATCAGCCACAACAGGAAGAGACCGGGTCTGGAATACCTCAAGACGATGTCCTCACAGTTGGACTTCTTTCGTCTTTCATCCCGGACATTTCACCGACTTCGATGGAGCTTCGCCAAGAGCTTTCGCCCTGCGATGCCGCAAGCCGTTGCTTGGTGCGACGAGCTTGTGGCTTCCCACGCCGTCTCCAGGAGTTCTGGTGCGACGAGTATGGTGGCCAGACCATGGCCGGACACTGAGAGTCTGAGCTGGACGAAAGAGGAGAGTGAGCGAGCTGTGCTTGATTTTTGAAGGGCCAAGTGGACTGAACTTTCGCCTGTTGAAAAGGGAGCCGGAGACTACACTGATTGCTCAGAGATGTGGCAAATCCATGAGTGTTCTTGATTTTTCTTTTCTCCTGATTTTTCATATGCAGTTGGAACCATATAAATTTATGTACATCAGGTGATGCTCCCCTCCACCTCTCCTGACGCAACGTGCGAGACTTGTCCAGGTCATGACCTACAGCCCTATCCGTGGCAAGGCCAGGCCAGACCGAGCACGTATCGAAGCGTACCTGTGCACCTGTGCAAATGGGCCTCATTGAGCTCTCCAGTCTTTGGTCCAAGCAGATCCGATGTGAAACAGATCGGCCTCCTTCGACCGTGTGCTGTGCCTGTCTTCAAAAAGCTGGACTTTGGACCCGTGGTTGCTCCGAAACCGGCGCGTTCGTTGCCGTTCACCACGCCGTGCCCCTCAACCAGGTGGGCGCTGAGTTGGGCAAGGTTGAAGGCCTGGTGGCACGGGCAGAGGTCTCCTTGCATGAGCTCTCCTCCTCCACCGACATCGAAAAGGCCGCCTGTTCCGGTCCGACCCCCGGCGCAACGAACGGAACGCGGCGGTTCACCGGTAACGAGCCCGAACACCCGGTGGAACGAACCCGAACACGGTTTGGGAACTCATGTGTTGGACTTCTACCAAGGGATCGAACAGTAATCCCCATGCACGACCGGACTGCCGGACTGCCGACAGACCCCCGACGACCGATCACCCCTGGCCTGATCGGCAGTCTTTATGGCAGTCCCACCGGTCGCGTCGGGGATCCAAGCAAGGAAGGATCAGGGGGGGCTGCATACTGCCTGTGTCTCTTCTTAAGCTGATGCATGCGCAAAGAAGGAGGCTGGCGCCTGTCTGAAAAAAGCAGGCTTGCGCTGGTGGAAGAAACGCCTCACATTTGTAAACCCTCATTGCCTTAAGATTCAGGCGCCCTCCCAGATCGATGCTCTTACTCCACAAGTCCCAGGGCCCAAAAGGACCAACATGGGAAAACCATCCAACAAACCAAAGCGCATGCCGCTCAAAGATGACATGCCACATCAACACCTGAGCCATCCTTTTCTTTTGACAAACCCCATCTCTTTAATACGACTTGTTTTCGTATTCACAGCTCATGGTTGCTTAACTATGCTTAACTGAGTGAAGCAAGTGGCCTTCGTTCAACCAACCCTTACTCTTCCAAGTGTTTCATCGTGTTTCTGTTTGCAACGCCAAGAGATGCCTCGGCCGTGGTCAGTGGGACCTGTTCAGTTGTAGCATAAAAAACCACCAGTTGTTTTTTCATCAATCTATATGATCTATTATTACTTTCAGGCGCGACCATCCAATCGCTTGTTGAACCAACATGCTGACGACCCTTCAAACCGGTGCGACTCCCAGTTTCGGCCGGGCCACCGTCCGACGTCGCGACGTGTCTGCGGCGACCGGCAGGCCGTGCACGACTTTTACAACTTGACCGATGCCTCGGGCGCGAAGAACTTCTTGTCGCTGGGAGGTTTTGTCCTTTTTTTTTCGAGGTTTGGCGCGAGGAGGGAGAGAGGGAGAGAGAGAGAGAGAGTAGACTAAGCTATAGAGTAGGAAGACGAAGACGAAGAGGAAGAGGTTGGTAGGTGAGGTTGGTAGGTGAGGTTGGTAGGTGAGGATGTTTCACCGCTTCGGGGGACACAGAACGAGGAGGGTCTTCTCCGCCGCGGCTCCGCGGATCGAGCACCGGTCCGATCCGAGGATCATCCACGCGGACCCGGTCGCGGCCTCGGTTCGGATGATCGAGCACTGCCGCTTCGTGTGCGAGAAGGCCCGGTTCGCCTCGGCCGGTTCGCCGAGGGTCTGAGGGTCTCGGCGAAGACGGACGGGGAGGGGTTCCCTCCCCCATTGGGTGGGAGGGGGCGACTGAAGATCTCGCTCGAACTTTGGGGAAGCTTGGGGGATCGAATCGGCGAGGTGCAAAAGGGCTGCCGGCTAACCCTCCCTTCAATTTGCACCTTCCCAACGGAAGAGTCCCGGAACTTCCTTCGGAGCCCGCAGCCTGCCGGACCCCCCCGGCACGTCCGCGCGGCTCGGCGGGCATGGAAGGCACGCAACAGCTTCTGCCAAAAGGGCAAAGGCGTGGAGGGCAGCATGTTTGTGGTCCTGGTGGTTCACCTTCAACGAGGCACGCGGTTTCGGGCGGAAGCCAGCGATCGCGCGTGGGAGGGCGTGTGGGGGCGAAGACGGGATCTCAAGCCACGTGAACTGTTCGACCAGCGTGGGGTTCCAGAGATGTGCTCTGAAAATGGACTTCACATCGTTTAAATCTTCGCACAGAAGTTAGACTCGAACAGCCACGAATCAAACACACCTCAAAAAACCACAGGCACAGCCCTGCAATCCCATGTCTTTAGGATCTTCTTTGCTTCACCCCCTTTTCCGCCTTGCTCCAACCCCCAAACCGACCCTTTTTTCGGAACCCGACCGCCCTGACTCCAGCGTCCTTTGCCCTCGAACCGCCTTCCACCAACGCCGCCTTCCACCTAGCCGCCATCCAGCCACTCCTCCAGCTAGGCTAGGCTAGGTACCCTGACATCATACCGTCCCGTCCCCATCTCCGTCCCCCCACCACGACCGGGCCCAAAACCCGACCCATCGACTTACGACCCCGACCCAGGCTACGACGGGAAGTTCTCCTTCGACTTCGATTCCCAGTGGTCGGCGGTCTTCTTGGATTCCGTGGAGCCGTCCGCCGACTTGAGCTCCATGCCGTCGTTGGGAGCCATGTTGAACATGCCCCTCATCGACACTTGGTGAGCTTATGTGAGCTTATGTGAGCTTTCTGCAGCAAGGGGGAGGCCCAGGGTCGGCGTTTTTGGAGTGACTGCGACGGGAGTTGGACAGGCGACGGGTGGTTGGGATTGGGTTAGAACTGGGTATTCAGAGGGTGGCCTAAAATGGCGAGCAAGAAAGACAGAGAAAAGCTGCTGGAATGTTCTTACTTTGATCCAGTTTTTTCCTGTAGAGCTAGGCCAGCAAAGACCACAGCTCACCACACGTTAGGTCAAGAATACACAGACCTGGACTGACCGGCCATACATCCGAGGATGTGGTGGAAGGTTTGGAGTTCCCCAAGTTGCTACGCAGCTGCTTCCGATCCTCGCTGTCACGGCTCATGTACCTTGGTGTTGCCGCGGGTGAGTTGACTCACCGGGGCCAACGTGGGCGGTCGCATGGCCTTGGAAACGAGTTCAGTTTTGGGTGGCTTCCCATGGACCGTGGAGGGATTTGGGAGATAGGGCCAAAGAAGATGATCAGATGAAGCGAAGAGAATAGCAGCCAGAAGCTAAGCACCTAAAGAACATGAATACACAGCTGCGAACCGATTGCACTCCGATGAACACATCACATGGAAGTGGGATGGCGCCCTGTGTTTGTAAAGGAATCTAGTCTTCCAAAGGACCATGTATCCACTTCCATGTGATGTGTTCGTCAAGAACTTTCTCCCTGGGACGGTCCATCCTCGCGAGGAATGGGGGGAATGGGCGGGGGTGCGTGCGAAAGCCCAGTTCATGTGCTTGTGGAAGCGAAAAGGTGATGCATGACGGGTTTCCATCGCTATTAGGTTGGAGGCCATCGCTATTAGGTGGAAGTTGTCAAGTGATGCATGAAGGGTTTCAACCCCTTGCTGTCATGGTGGATCCATGGTGGGATCCACCGACGAACCTCTGCTGCCAACCTCTGCGAGGTATCCACACTCCCGTCGGCCTGGGGATTTGCAGAAGCAGATCCAGCTGATGTTGTGCCTTGCCGAAAAAAAAGATGAACACGCGCCTTTTCTTTTTTCCTCTCTCTCTCTCTCTCCCCCTATTTTACTTAAATTACATGATTATATCATATATACCCTACTTACTAGAAGTTCAAAGACTATATTTTGCCCCACTGAAGTAAAGGAAATTCTTGTCCGGGTAACCAAAAGACCACTGACTTTAAATTTGGTCTTGGAATGTCTTGGATGGGTTTCTCTATATGGGAGGGCACGAAGTGAGAAGACCCTAGATGATCCTCTCCCATGCCTTCGACTCGACATCCTAACACAGACCGGCGACCACTTGAAGAGAAGATCCGTATGTTGGATGTCAAGGGCCCTCCCAACATCGCGATGCGGACCACGGACGGTCTGGGCGCGTCGTCGCGCCGGACAGCGTCGTCGCCGGACAGCGTCGTCGTGGCGAGGAAATACATCGAAGATGTGGACTTTGCAGCTTGGGCCGCCGAGGGAGTTCGCTTGGAATGTGGCCTAAGAGTGCGACGATGTCCTGATGCTTGAGGTAAAAACGGAGCGGCCAAGGCACAGCCTCCTTTTTCTCTTAGAAATAGAATATAAGTGGTTCAATTATATGTTGAATCTTTTTTTGTTTGAATGATATCAATGTGTAGCGAAGGTGTAAGAAGGAGACGCATGAGTTGGTCGAAGTTTCGGCCTTTGCTCTGAGGTCAAGATGGTGCGAGATTGGGCAACTCAGTGGCAGTGGCAGGGGTGGGCAACTTCTTCAATATCGAAACAATAAGCTAGTAGGAACAAGTGCATCGCTAGTAGTAACAGGTGCCTTACTAGTAGTAACAAGAAGCTAGTACCTAGATATCAGAAATCCATGAGATGCTTTCCAACCACCAGAGTCACATGACCATGTTTCCAAATGTTCCTGGCTGGGCGCCTTGGGCATTTGGGGTGGCGCGTGCGCACGCAGATGCACCTGAAAAAAGGGGGGTGCGACGCAAGCGGTCTGTGTCACACAGAAAGTCAACAGCTAGAGGGTCAAACAGCTTGGCTAGGCAGCTGGGTGATGCGGAAGTCGCCAGGTGCTGCATATCTTGCGGAACACGCCCAAGAACCTGGCAAACCCGTCGGAGGGCTCCGTTGGTGATGACAGGCGCGCGGGCTTCGTTCGTTGCGGCGTTTGTGGTGCACTGGGGCGGACGGCTCACGGGCGGCAACCGGGATGGAGATGGGAGAAGACCAAAGCATCTTGAGATCTGAGGAAAGAGAAAGAGGTGGATCTCTCTAGAAGCCATGATATACGTGTACTATGGGTCTGTCTTAGTTGTAACAGTCGGTAAACTCATTAACACTGGACTTTGACTGTCTTTTTTGTGAGGAAGGCCTGCAAGCTCAGCATCATCCACTGGGCCCTGGTGATGGGATATACCCAAGGCACAAAGCAACGCCAGCTGCCCAGGCACTGGTTCGCTGCGATCGCCTCTGCCGCGCAGGAGAGCGCTTTTGTGAGAGCGCACGCGTGAGAGGGGGGCGAGCCGTGGGGTGTGTGTGTGTGTAATCTCAGAACTGATCAAACAAATCCAAAGAACGTTAACACAGAACTGATCATCGTGACTGTTTGATCCGATGTCTTCGTGTCTGTCTCGCGAGACAGTCTGTCGACTACACCCGTCTCGCCCTCTTGGGGCACTACTGATTGGCAAAGGCCAATCATTGCCAATCTTCATGTAGGATCTTCTCCCCAGAGAGGTTTATCCATCATGGGGCTTTATCAATAGAGGCCTCTACATGTAGGTTTTATCAATCTCTGGGGAGGTTTTGCCAATCTTCATGTAGGATCTTGATAAACAAAACCTCCCCAGACACAGATTGTAAATAAAGCCTCTTCAAGCCCTGGACCTGGGGATTAAAAAAAACAACATATCCACAGTCTACCCAGTCTTCATATGTGTTTGTTTTTGTTCTTCCTGAGTCATTCTGGCCTGGTGGGTTGAGAGGTTGAGACCACCAACCAGATCTATATAGACAGACCTCCAAATAGATAGAAGTTCGTAAATCTTCACTCAAACATGTAATGCTAGAATCCAAGCCGTGCCACTTTCTATCTAAATTAAGGCCAGACGAACAACGATCCACCAGTTGCCACCGGCCGCTCCGTCTCCGCTCCGTCGGCCAGGAGCTTGCCTTGGCGGGCACCTTCCGAGCGGCCTTGCACGGCCGCGTGGTGGTCTTGGTGGGGTCGCTCCTGTCAGCGCTGCTGGCACATCTGGAACGTGCCGCCCCCGGCATGACACATCACATCAAAGCGGCTGAGACGCCATCACATGAGATATTCCAGAGATGTCTCTGACTTCTGGGGTGGGAGAAGTGGGTGAGGCTTGTGGGGAACATCCTGACTTTTAGAGGCTTTCTTTCTTCACCGTCAGGCGGCAAAGCGTGGAAAGAACCAAGTTCGGAAGGTTTTCTCTGCACCAAATGGGGTCCCCAACTTCCAGTTTTGGCATGGATCGTTTATTGCCACCAGCGCTTTCTTCACCGGTGGTGACACTCGCGCGGTGTTTTCGCCGCCACCATACGACCCGTGATCCAACCCCCAACAGATTCGGGCGCGCGATCATGGGAACGTCCCGCCTGAGGCAACTCTGGATTGGAACTCTTGGACATTCCCAGCAAGCGGGACCGGTGCGTTCGGACGAGTGGACTGTGTGGGCCGTGGAAGCGTGCAGGTGGAGGGCTGTTGGATTGAACCGGGCCGAACGGCTTGGGAAAAGCCGTTTTTAGATCGGTCACCCAATAGTTCTTCTGATACTGGTAAGGCACACGGCAGTCCAAGAGTGTTGTCCGCACCGCAGGATCATTGGCTGAAGCTTTCGACTGCCTCTTTGCTGTCACCCTTGAGCGTCCGCTTGCAGAACGAGGCGCCGTTCCGGCGCGGCACGGCTCGCGGCTCGCGTTGCTTCGGTCGAACGCCGTGTCGAGGCGGTGAGTGCGCTCTCGGAGTCGGCGACGGCGCAGCACGAGGCGCGGGACGACGGCGACACCGATGCGTTTGAGGGTGGAACGGTCAGGAAACGGAGAGTTCTGGGATGAATTTCAAGATGTTTCAGATCGGTGTGGATGATTGTGAGCCCTTTTTGGCTTTTTGGCGGGAAACGCCTCTTCCCATACACCATTTCTTTCGCATCAAACACTGACCAGGCCTCTATTGATCTCTATTGTAAACATCCTTAAGATGGGAAAAAGGAGCGTTTCCGAAAGCTAAGCAACGCCGTCTTTGACGTGTTTTTGGAGGTGGGCACCGATGCCTACACCACCGCCCGACCATTCCAGGGACGCTTCCCAGTCACTTCGGCAAAAAACCCGTGCCGGGACGGGTGTTGGGCAGAACTGGTTCGGCGACCGACGGGTGTGGGTGGACTGGAGGGTAGACCACTGACCACTGACCGGTACACAAAGAAAATTGGACTCAAATCAAACTGAGGGTACCTTGCAGCAAGAATTCTGTAGTGTTAGAGTAAGCAAGAATTCAGATCCTCTAACTATAGGGTAACACACTCGCCAAGGCCTCCCGACCGAAGGCCTTAAGGCCTCCCAAGCAGCTGAGCCTTCACCAGCAGAGGCCGGGGTCCAACGCATCCACCGTTTTCTCCAAGGCGAGTTGGTTCATCTCAAAGGTGGTGGACGGCTATCGTCACGTCATCGAGCAGAACGAAGCCACTGAACAGCTGGCGGCACTGCAATCCCAATATCAGTGGCTTGGACATGCGAGGTGCCGCTTCTTTGGGATCCCTGAAGACAGCCTTGAAATGCTGGCTGGGTTGACTGGTCTATTCTCCTTCTTCCTGGGGGTCGAAAGGGGGTCAGTCTCCCTAGTTGAGCTACACACCCATGGCCCATGTCGGTGATATGACAGTATGGTCCTGATGGTTTCAGCCCGGCAAGGCAGTTGTCTGGGTTGACGGAATCTCAGCCTGGGGCCCAACCTCAGACCGGTTGTTGAAAAGGTTGTGGCCGCTCAAGCGGAGAGTGCTTGGACCGCTCCAGGCTGAGTAAGCTGGCAGAAATTGGCATCCAGCCAGAGATGGAGCCGCCCATGCTGGAGGATTACATGGCGGATTTCACGGCGCCTTGGCCGAAAGGATGAGAAAGACGGTCCCCAACTGGTCGTCGCTTCTTGCTACGGTCGTAGCTTCTTGCAATATAATGACTCCAAGCTAATAGTGAGGGCCACCTAGCAGCTTCTGGCTACTAGGATGGAACCGGCTGGGGGGAAGGTCCTTTTCCATTGGACAACTGTGTGGGATTGATCTCCCAACGGGGTTTGGGGCCCGGTTTGGGCCACCTGCGGGGTACTGAACTTGGGAGAAGTGCCTCAAAGTGCTTCGGATCAGAGCTCCCTGCATACACACTTCGGGAAGCACAGGTGCTGGATTCGACATGCAACATGCAGGATCGCCATCAGGTGCCCCCCTGAGCCAAAACAACAGAGGGGCAGTGGATACTGTACCCCCAGAGCCGCAGAGCTTGCCCAACCCGTGGTGCTTTGGACCATCTTCCAAAGCCAACCACCCAGTGGTTTTGAGAGTCCAACGGGGTCCTTTGCAGGAGGGTATCAACCTGTGTAGAGTGGAGACCTGTTGAGAGTGGCGAGTTACGGGGCTCGCCGATTCTCCACTGCTCCACTTGGCCGATTCTCGCTGCCTCCACTTGGGGCGTCGTTTTCAGAGAATTCAAGGTCTGAGTCGAGAGGGCAAAATCGGATGTGCAACTTTTGAGTTCGAACTCCGTGTAATGTAGACTCTTGAGGACCATAAAACCCCCCAGGCAGAAGAGGATTTCCAATTCAAATGGTGGGGTTATTAATCAAGAGTCCACATGATCTCTCCGAAGGCCGTCCGACGACCGTTGTTTCACTTTACTCGGGTGGCCCCCGAGTTCTTGCCAGGCGATGCATTTGGATTGGACGGAGCGCATAGGCAGCGAGTTGCCGCGAGAACACGCGGTGGTAAGCGGACGGTGTTTCGATCGTTTGCAGAACATTTGGCACCTCCTCTCAAGGTGCTTTTTGCAGGCCACAGTATCACAACCACCCACCACAAGTGTCTCCTAGTAGTGCAGCAGTGAACTAAAACAAAAAGTAAAAATAGACCACTTCTCAAAGATGATGAATCTGGATGACACTGGATGACCCTGCAACGCATGTTTCTAGGTCGAGGTGATCAGCTACGGATCTTGAAGAAGACCTTGACCCGGCTGCGGCAGAAACCGTTGACCTCGATCCTGGAGGCAGGAACGAGCCGGACAACGAGCCCCATTTTGAGGTGTTTTCGTTGGTTTTGGAGACCAATGGCACCTTCAAAAAGGGCCCTCCCCCTTCTTCTCGAACTCGCAAAATCGAGCTTGCAGCTTGCCATCTTGAATCTTGCTGTGTGTCAACCGCAGCATCTCAACGGCTCAATCTTGCTCATCCCCTCCCTCTACCGAGCTCCTGCCCTTGTTCCGGTCAAGGTCCCCCCCAACCCTCGTCTTCCACTGGAGGACGCGGAAACGACCTCTGTGACCTCCACGACTGCCAGGTGCACCAGCTCTTCTGGCGCCTGGAAAAGGAGTTGGCCTTCTCCGTGGGTCTGCTGAACGTGCCGTGGGACCAATTGGACCGAGCACCGGACCGGAGAGGAAGGACGGGACGAGGGGACGAACAGAGAAGAACCACCACGAAAAACACGTGGGTGACGAGTCCAGCAGGAGGGTCCAGAGATGGGAGATGGGTGCACCAGGGCGATGTGTGAAGTTTGCATGAAGGTTGAGGAAGACTCGATCGACTGGAGCATATGCTTGGAGCTGATGTCTTTTTCGAGACGGTTTAGTAGACTTCCGTGACGGTTTGATTTCGGATCACCAGCTTCCTTGATGGAAACCAACGAATTGAATTGTGTTCGTCCGTCAAAACCTGGAGCCTGACGTCGTTGGATTTCACGAATGTGAGGCGACGACCGTCCACCTGGTGCCCACCACCGTGCCCACCATCGGATCGGTCTCGACCCACCATCCTGATGTCTTAGACAGATGGGGTTCTATGACCGCAACAACATCCCAAAACCAGCTTCAAAAATGGCGCCATCTCAAATCCATCTTTGTTTGGCCTCCTTTTGCGTACGACCGGGCTGTTGGTCACGTACCTGGATGAACGGCTCCGTCCAGTCCCGCATGGGGACGCGGGACGTGCGTCCAGTCAAGCAGCTGAGGCGGTGCCTGCAGCTGTTCCAGAAGCTGAGCATTTGATTGAGACCGCCGAGTTGAACTCCTTGTACTACGACTTGCGCCTTGGAGTCTAAGTGGACGCAGAACCCTGAGATGGCCTTTTTGGCTTGGTCCCGGGTCCCTTGAGTTCTTTGTTTTATGGGTTGGACATGAGAAGACGATGTTTTGATCGCAGACGTATGGAACAGATCTAAACGTATATATATGAAAAAGTAAGAATCAGAAGATCCAGGAAGGAAGTTGTGATCGCTTCAGGGAACAATGAGTGAGAAGAGTTCTTTTTTTCAACATCAATTTTTCGAATCGATTCGATGTTTGAACCCTTCAATTCGAAGGAAGCTATGCCGTGCTCGCGGTTCTTCTTCTCCACCCTCTTTCTGGCCAGCCCCCCCGGAACATATGTATACAGTATACATGTAACTCTTCGTCCCACACGAACCGCTCGTCACTCTTCGGACCCGCCGAGCTTCGGACCCAAAATCGGAGACCGCGGTACGACGACATCGACCCTTTCGGACGCGCGGTACGTCTGCGGTACGTCGTGGTAGCTGCTGGTTCAGGTTGCTGCTGGTGCACGAGACCTTGGCCAAGGAGCTCTCAGAGCTCTCCGCTTTGCCCAGCGTCACTTGGACCGAGGTCTGGACCGAGACATCTGTGACGCGGAACTCCGCTAGGCAAAATATGTTAGATCTCGGATAACAAGGTTAACAAGTAATTTCTTAAGATATCAAATGTATTATATTATTAGTATTACATTAGTATTAAAACACCATGAATGATCCACCTTCAAATTCTGATGGTAATCATACATTTTCTTTTTTAAATGTGGTGAATACAACAAATACGCGAGATAGCAGGGAAAATCCATAATGAAGAAATGCTTTCATAATTATATGAGTTGTTCATTTTTCCCCGCCCACCAATGAAATTCCATTAGGACATGATAGGATTATAGAAGCCATAAACTCATCTTTGTCAATCCTATATCAATCCAGTTGGTCAGGGTCGACAGGGAAGAAGCCCATTATTAATTTGGGGCTTGAAAAGGTGAACATATATTAATAGCAAAACCTCCAATAACCATGCACCATTTTTCTTTGATGAAAACACGGAGGGGAGTCATAACGCAAGAGGCAAAGAAGTCCCAAATAAGAGGTGTTCAATGAGATTTTGCCCGGTGTCATCAGTTTGATCATTCATGAATTCAAACATCTCAAACATCTTCAGCTTCCACCAGCTTCGTCTTCCAAGGAGAAGAGCCAAAACCTCTATCGCGAGTGGCTCATGCGCAAGCTGGTGGTCGCGGGTCTCACCAAGGTGCCCGTTGGTGAGCGCTTCAAGCCGGACGTGAAGAAGACGTCGGAAGTCAGTCCGTTTCGCAAGAGTCGGGGGTGAAGGGAGGTTGTTGCATGGTCCAAGACGGTTTTCGCATAGTCATGCATAGGTCTAATAATAGTCTCCCCTAAGACAGACTTTTTCCTGCATGTCTTTGAAGAGCTGTCCAAAACTGAGTGTCTTCCAGGATAAGCTGCTGGGTGGCCATCAAGGTGTGGCTCCTGAGCATCTTGGCCTCTCCGCTTTCGCCCACCCGTGCACGTTGCGGAGTCGTGTGAGCGACGCGAGAGCAGAGCGTGGGTTGTCTGAGGAAGATTGCGAAGCTGAAGTCCAATACCGAGCCACGAATTGCCGCTGGCCTGCCAGGGTCTTTTTAGAGATTGCCTTTAAGGGCCTATAGGGTCTTTTTTTTGGACTATGATAGACCTTTTTGGCACTTTCGCAACATGCCCATCTTCCCCCGAAGAACGGTGAAACACTTCGATCGTCGATCCGGACTCTCGATCGAGATAGCTTGGGGCCTTCGCGAGATGTTGGGCGTCGCGAGAGAGCCCATGTTCACGAGAACGAGTCCATTTGCTCCTAGTAGTTAGTAAGGCCAGGAGCCCCGTTCGTAGCGTTCTTGTTCGTAGTAAGGCGGCCAGGTTGGAGGCCTCGGTCCTTCAGCAGGTTGGAGGTGCGGTTTCGATGTTCCACTGAGGAAACTTTGGCCTTGGTCCTTCAGCATGTGGCTTACCCGTTGGAGCTGCCTTGTGAGGCGGGGCCAAAGGACCCAGTATGGAGTACCACCACCGAAAGGCCCGAAGGCAGATGGTTGCAGGTTGTAGATGGTTGTTGCATGTTGTAGCGGTACGTCCTATCCTGGCGATTCTTTCTGACCTCCTCTGCCTGAGTGACATCGGCAGATGTCGTTCAGATGTCCTCTGCACCGTTTTGTTTTCCATCGGTTTTCATATACTTTGGAGCACCCGTACTACGGTAGACACATTTCATTTGATGTTGAACGATTGTGAAGATGCCCAGGTTGTACAGAATTCGATTTCATCTTTCTTCAGTTTGCGCCGCAGGTTGTGAGGGACTTCGCCAAGGAATTGCCCAAGGAGGGAAGGTTCCGTCGCCAGGTTGAGACGTCGACCGGCCGACCCTCAAGGATTGACCTGAGGGCAAACCAAGAAAAGCGGAGGAGCAACTATCATTATAGGTGGCATGTCAATGAGCCCTAAAGGTTTGTTATTGAAGGTTATTGACGAGTTGAGTGATTTCAGATTTCAGTTGAAGCTTAGCTTTGCTCTATACTTGAAAGGTTTGTTTACCTGCACCAGACCGTCTAAAGGGGACCTCAGTCTTCCAAGTAAACCTTCGATGTGGACCTCCACTTCGATCGAAAGACCGTCCTCGCGGGCGGAAAGACCACGGCCATCAGGAGAAGATCCGTTACTCTGGAACCTTGTTGGCCATGCTCAACTTTGGACAGGCGCACCTCGCTTTCGGCCCGCTCGGTCGGTGAAACCATGCAGACGGGCTGCGAAAAGACCGCGCGTTTTCCAACGACCGGAACGATTTCTGCGGCTTTGTTGTTGACGGCCCAGATGAGTTGGGAAAATGGTCATGGGAAGCTGAACATCTCAGTCTGGTGAGTGTGGAGGCCCATGACCTGTATACAGTCACGAGCTACTCATGACCTGTAAGAGATGGGAAGGCCTGCAACTTCCGGCCCCATCATCCACTGCAGGCTGTTAGCAGGGAATAGGGCATACCATGACATACCCAGCTTGTGAACATCTCCACACAACAATTCCCAATCAGAATCACTCGGACTTGGAACTCCGGGTTTCCGCAGATTTGTCCGCGAGGTCGTAGTGAACCACTTGCCATCCAAGAAGGACACGTGTTTGCAACAGCTGAGTCTCTCGGCAAATCGTCTTCGCCGCTTTTGGACATCGTGCCTCTCTATTTTCCTTTGATGCTTCGTGTTTTTGTTTTTTTTTTGCACTACAAATGACATCAAATCACGATCAAAGATTCAAGATCAGCAACCCCGTTTTGCTCTTTCTTCGGACCGTCGACTCCGGATGTCGACCGGTCTCCGCCCTGCGCGGTCCGAAGAACGAGCGGCTTGAAACGGAGAGTGGCTTTGAAAAGCCGTGAGGCTCCTTCATCGAGAGCTGGTTCCTGGACGTTTGCCTCCTCAACGCAGAGGAGATGGGTTTAGGGGTCATGTGATCCGAGTGGGGGATGATTTTTTGGGGGGACCGTGATGGGACCGTCATGACCGTGAGAGATGTGGACGGCTGAATCATGAGGGGGAGGATCACTGACTGCCACTGAGAGCATTTGACAGTGCTATGACTCTCCTGAACACATAGGTAGCATTGCCATTGACAAACAGATTGTTTTGTTTTGAAGGGTGTATCTACTATACGATACGATACTATACAGACTTTTTGCAGCTTGAAGAAGGATACGTTTCAACTGGTGCAAACTGGTGCCAACGCCGTTGACGATCTGGAATCAGGCGATGAACGACCTGGAATCCGCAAGCCTTCGACTGGTCTGCAGTGTTGCAGCAGGCAGGCAGGGTAGCTGCAGGCAGGCTATAGCTAGCAGCTAGCTTGGCTAAGTGCGGCTTAGAGCTTCGATCAAATGTGCTGGAAGTCAATTGTTACCTGCTCTTGAACTTGGCTGTGGAAAACCATTCCAAACACTCCCCCCAAACCCGAGCATTTGCATGGGTCCCGAGCATTTTTGGTCCACGTGGTTCGTTTTGGCGGAGTCAATCAGCCAAGATGTTCAAGATTGCTCTAGCTTATCCTTCCAGCACTCCTTGTTCTTTCACACTTGAAAGCCCTGCAAAAAACATCGGTTTTTCTCCACCTCTTTCATCCGACCTTCGACGCCGACCCGTCGCTTCTCCCAGGCTTGCCAACGCTTCGAGCCTTATCGGTGTCTGGCATCGCCACCGGGAGCCTTGAGGGGTGGTGTGAGAACATGGACTCAGGCCGTGTGCCGTGTGCCGTGCGCCGCGTGGCGTCCTCATGTGCGTAGTCATCCGCGGGGCGGGTGAGCTGGCGTCGGGAGGAATCTTGAGCAAGAAGAGGACCGTGATGGGACCCAGGCGCTTTGTGCGTGAGTTCACAACCCGAGGGGTCCCTCCATAATGAGGGTCCCGGGTCACGTCTGGGGAATCGTTCATTCGGTTTGCTGCTTGTCCCGCCAAGTGTATGCTATGAATATAGCTATGACATTTGAGATCATGGTCAACCGATGCGCCGTTGCTGTCATGGTGATGTTCTTGTGATGTTGCAAAGGGCCAGATGAAACGTTTGACGTCCACCTTTTCATCTGGGCCCACCAATGGAACACACAGTCAGCTCAACGAGCCGTTCGCTCCTGGGTTCTCCGCTTCGAACCCCGGACTCGCCGCGACCGGCACCGGTGTGGCCGAACCGGTCGCCAGGCATCGCGCAGTTGTCGGAAGGGCTCTATGTGCCGCGCTCCAGCTGTCACTTCGGCTATCCCAGCCCACGGAGTCCACGGCGGTCGATCAACAGTACCCCCCCCTCCGTGGAATTGCGAGAGGCGTCCCAGTCACGGCCATCGGCCGTTGGGTGCCTTGATTTGCTGGTAAGAATGGAAGAGTGGGTGCCTTCCACCCCTTGAAACCATCAAAAGAGGGTAGGCTCTTGATTAATGAGCCCCCCTACGTAAAGAGATGTTTCAATTCAAATGGGCGGGTTTATGTATGAATCAAGACCCAGTGGATCCCAGTTACCACAGGGGCCCTCCTTCGGTCCATCGGTCTATGGTTTGGTCGTCGAACTGGAACCACTGGGACTGATAGCGACATCGTGGTTGACCTGGATGATCTGCGGGAGAGTCATTGTAGTCAGGAATCGGTACCGATGGGATGTCGTAAACCCCATCACCGTTTGGTCTTTGATTCACCGTGCCGGTGGCGATGGCACCACCGTCGCGGTGGTGCACGTTCTCCTCCGGTTGGCGGGCCCGACCATCTTCCACCAGGGTCTTCCGAAGATCTTGAGGGACTTCTCTTTATACACCCATGGCATCCCATGGCCCATATCCAACTCAAGACCGTTGTAACAAGGATGCCCCCCTGAAGCCGTCTCGGGCGCCGGAAACGCCGGCGGCGATCCGGCAGGGCCCGATGGATCGCCGCGATCCGCTCGACGCAAGGCCTCAACTTGGCACTGCTGCGGAAGCTCATCGTCTCCTCCAGCGGCGAAGCCAAGGTCGGCTCGCCGCCCACGAAATTCGTCGCGGTGTTGAGAAACGCGTTTGAACGACGACACTGCAGAAGACGGGAGAGTTTTACCTCCTGGTGGCTCGTTGGAGCCTTCTTTTTTTCTTTTTTAAACACATCTGTTAATATATTATATATTTAAACATTATTCACATTGATTGAACAGCCAAAGAATGGAGCCACACTGTGATATAATTTTCTTTCTCTGATCTCGATTTGGTGATGGAAGGCGAGTGCGACTAAGCACATCGAGGATTTGCTGAAAGTGGTGGCTGGTCATGAGATGCTCGATCCAACGCCGTCGCGCGATCCGCGCGCCGCACGCGACAGCGCCGCGCGGTGGAAGAGCAGCGAACCTGCAGCGACCAGGAAGCACAACGACACGCTCTTCGCCACGCGCTATGCCATTCTCCAGGAGGAAGACAAAGAAGCTGACCATGGGAAGTGTATCTATGAGGACCGGTGCGGAAGAAGCTAGGTGGTGACGTGGTGAGTGGTGAGTGGTGACGTGGACGTGGACGTTTCTTGAAACGGTCTGTGTAAGGGAAGAGCTCTTAATCTTTTGTTCATGAGAATTGTCCTTTTTATCATAAGAACTGTCCTTTTTGATCCTTTTTTTCCTTTGTGAAAGTAAGAGTTTGGGTATTACAGTGTGTTGTGCTCTGAGGAAAGTTGGTATGGCCCAGACAATACAACTCAGTGAATCCAGGTGAAACATTGATATCCTCAGACAACAACACACACTGTAATACCCAAACTCTTACTTTCACAAAGGGAAAAAAGGATCAAAAAGGACACTTCGTATGATAAAAAGGACAATTCTCATGAACAAAAGATTTCTTCCTGAAGAAGATGTCCAACTCAAACCCGGTTTTGGGTCCGTGGAGGTGCGGTGTGGAGCCGAGACGCGCGAGACGCGTCACCCGTGAGGAGCCCGAGGAGTGGCCAGATCTGAAGCTGGAAGATATCTTCGGGGACGTTTCGACCTCAGAAGCGAAGAGAACGGAAGAACCGAAGACCGAAGAGAACGGAAGTTCCCCCCCCACAAAGCGAAAAAACGAAAGAGAGAGAAGGCGATGGTCTCCGTGGACAGACGTGAAGGTTCGTTCGTGACACGGTACACGGTCGTCTGGACACGGTCGTCTGCGTGAAGCACATCCCCATCCCATCCGGTGACTCCCAGCCGAAGTTGCGAGTGAAGGTTTCGGACATCGGGTTGGTCAGACCAGACTGGACTCTTACTAAGCTGCTTTCGTTTACCCAGCAACTTGAGAGAGACCCAGCATGCTGAGACCCGGAAAACAGCAAGAAGCATCACGGGAAGGTTGATTGACGGGTCGATTGATGCTTCAAAAAAACACCGTCTTCCACTCGAGAGGGAGCTGGGTTCATTCTCGGATCAGAACAAAACCTGTGGATCCATGATGATCCATGGATCCTGTACCTACCACCTGTGCCGGTCACTGACCGTGCAACCCCAAAGACCGCCCCCCCCCAGACCCGGCTCCGCTCTGAAAGCGCTAACAAACCGAGCGAAACCGAAGCGAATGGACCGGCGGTTTCGCATGGGCGGCTCAAAGGATGTGAAGAAAGACACGGCCAAGATGCTGCAGCTCGTGGGGAAGTGCCGTTCCTTGGAGAGCAGACCTGCGGCGCAGCGAGAGAGAGAGTGAGAGTGAAAGACTCTCTGTCTGCGAGAACTCGACCAGACGAAGCTTCTTCGGGATCGATTTTAGGGGATGCCGCTTTTCCTGTGGCCGAAGAGAGCCACAGACCGAGGTCTTTTTGCTCTCTGCCGAGGTCCTCTTCTATAGCCCTTTTTGGGGGTGCAAAAAAGCATAAAGAAGCCCATGGAACCAGAAGTCATCCACTCACATGGGGTTGGACCGGGGGGGACTCCAAGCACGCCACTCCACGCACCCCGCGCTGGCTCTTCTCTGACTGGAAGAAGAGGCAAACGAGTCAAACGACCAGGTTGCATCCTCTCGATGTATGCTCAGCTTCTGGTGCAAGATCCCGTGGACACCGATCTGCACGCGCGAGCCGAGCCCAAGGCGCGAAGGGAGTCGGAATGCGTCTCGTCGTCCCCATCACACACGTGAACGCGTGGCAGTGGGAGGTGTGAGAGGATGACCCTAACACCAAGTTGAAACACCTCCAAATCATTTTGAAACACCATGCTGAAACACCATGTTGGAGGTGTTCCATGGTGTGGGTTCCACACCATTTTTGGGGCGGTGCTTGGTCTCCACCATGTAGTTCCACGTCGGTGTCGGTGCATGATCTGACTTAGGTGGATGGCTTGCTACAGACGGATAAGCTGGAGTTCCGCTCCGTCTGCCGATCCATGCGCCTTTACTTGCTGCAGCTCGCTGGATTTCTCTTCGACAGCCTGTGGTGGTGGAGAATGAAGAGGGACTTCCTTGGGGATCCGGATTGGTGTAGCTCATCTTGGCGGGGTCAAGACCTCCGCTTTTTTTTGTCGCGAGCCCCGGTCTCTTGCTTCGAATCGAAGGAATCTCACATGAAACCATAAAACAGATCCGATAGATTCCTCATCCAAGCATTATATCTAAGTATTTCCAAATTCAATCAAGATCCAACAAAGCTCTTTTCTCGGCTCTCATCCACATCCACTCTCCCTTCTGTTTTGGGGGAACCCCCCCTACCTGGATACCGTGCACCCTCGACTTCTTGTGCTTGGTGGGCTTCCGCGCAGGGGAACGCCCTGCGCCCGCCCCTGAAGCGGCCGAGGAAGTGCATGGAACGCGCGCGCGGGCTTTCCTTCGTGCGTTCGCTGCTGGCGGAGCCGCCGCTGTCGGACACCGCCTGGGTGCAGCCGCCTGGCCGCGCGCGTCCCAAGCGCGAGGGGAGTAGCGTGTTCGGCCGGCAAGTCGAGGGAGTCGTGGGACAGAGACCTGGTGTGGACGCGGTGGCCGACGCGGTGGCCGACGCGGTGTGAACGGCCGGGTTTTGGAGCCGACCGACCTGTTTAGAGTCCCGACCGGAAGAAATCGACCAGTGAGTTTCAGTCGAGCGTCTGGCTGGACAAGGTCCTCGTCCCATTTACACAAGGAATTGACTGGGACGAGGTTCTGACCGTTTTTGTCCGCCCACGCAGACACTTCAGATGGGGAAAGAAAGGAACCTGCCGAGACCACAGATGTTCCAAGATGGGCCCTTCTCGGTCAGAGGCGTAACCGAGGATGTTCGGTTAGGTGCTCACGTGGTCGCGTGACATGAAGTGCCAAGCCAAAAGACATGCCAAAGCCACATGTCGAAAAATCTCTGAGTGTCAAGGACAGAGGGGGGGTTTTCTTCCCTTTTGGAGGTCTCGTGGTGGAAGGTCAAGAGGAATCTTGAAACACATCACGTCCTTCATTTAGCCTGGAAGTCCAGTTCGACTCTGTTTTGCCCCACCGAAGTAAAGGAAGTTCCATAGTCAGGGGTATAGTAATGACATCCCCTTGGTTTTTGACCATTTTTTAAAGAGCCAGTCCTAAAGACTGTCCACAGATGTGAACTTCATTTGTTCCAATCCAAATCCGGCTCCCGAGCTCCCGAGCTTCTCCCTCCCCACCGGCGTGGTTTCCTCGAGGAAGTGGCGGGATTTGCACGATATCGACTTCGAGAAGTTCATCGGCGCAGCGCTGGTGCCGAAGTGGAATCCCTTCCTTGGGGACTCCCAGGAGACCGCCAGCCAAATGGGCCGGCCGATGCTTCCCTTGTCCGGGATTCGGCCTGGTATTTTCTAGGATGGTATCCCGAACATTGGCAAAGATGAAGACGCAGAAACGCGAGTTTGCTGGACATGGTTTCCTGCAGGATATTGACTAAGATATGCACAATATATTATGTCCATAATAGTTGGCACTTGCTTGAAAAACGGCAGTTTTGATTGAAACGGCATGAAGACCCAGGCATAGCTATGAAGACCCAGGTATTATGTCCCATAAACGACCAGAACACCTGTGGACACCTGTTGGGACAGGACTTGGCGGAGTACAACGATGCCATGAAGGCTGTGGTGGAGCTCATGACAACCACCTCCACCGCCAAGCTTGAGAAGTACGCGTGCCACGGCGACAGAAAAAAAACACGCCGGAAAGTCTTTGTACACGTTAACTTATACCTGGACCCTAGGGGTGCCCAATGGAAGCCTATAGGTAGTGTGGGGTAGTCCATTGGACACCCCTTGGAGGGTCCTGGTATAGGTTTCTTCGTTTTTTTTCGCTCTTGGTTTCGTGAAGCCCAGCGCTTCTTCTCCGCAATGGAGCCCGAAGCCACGTTCGGCCGCCGGGGTGGCGAGCAGCGCTGCTCGCCCCCTGCTCGCCTCGGATCAAGGCAGGACCTCGCGCACCTGCCCGAGGAGAAACGCCGCCGCGGCATCGGAGGACGGACCCTTTTTGGGCGCGGGGAGCGAGCGAGGAGCATGGAGGGGTAGACAGGTTTCATCAGGTTTCCACAGTGCAGGGCTGGTCAAAGGTGAGGAAGAACTTGAAGAAAAATGCGAAAGAACAACAACAACGACATATATTTTGTATACAATGATCAATCGACATTCAAGTCATGAACCCAGAAAAAGAAACTGTACATTTGCATACGACATGGATCATCCAAGGTTCACTTCTTTTTCCGACCCCACAACAATGCTTTTTCGGATGGTTCGCTCCTTCGTTTCTGCATCAGACGAGGCCTCCTGCTGGCTGTTTGCCAAGAGCCAGGTTTGCTGGCCGCGCTGGAGGACTGACGTTTTGTGGAAAGAATTGCTTCCAGCAGTGGCTTACAGCAGTTGCTCTGAAAGCATGGTCTTTCGAGTTGTTGAAAACGGTGAAGCGCGGCTGAGAGCCCTGTTCCGAAGGGCAGCCTCCTCTCTGTTGGGCCAAAGGTTCAATCATTTCAATCTTCAACTTTCAAATTAATATATTAACAAGGACGCTACTAGGTGGAGGCCATGACTATTTGGTTGGAGGCCCTCACTACTAGTAACAAGAAGCTACTAGTTTGGAGGCCATCGCTAGGAACTCCCAAAGACGCCCGCAGAATCTGAGCAACACGTTCCCTTGGGTCTCGAAGAAAGACACCACCCAGCCCCGCCTTCTCCCGACTCCAGCCTTCGCCGACCTCAAGGAGCCGCATCATAGGCCTCCCTGGCGGCCTAAGCTCTCGGAGTGGCTGAAGAGCAGCCAAGACCTCAAGGTCTCCGACAAGGACCTCAGCAGTCGTCCCAGCACACGGTCGACCCGCCGAGTTCGGACCGCGTGACCGACCGCGCGGGGGCGCGGACCGGTGTGTGACCACCGACCGCGTCTCTCTTGTTTTTTTCTGGTGTGCTCTGCCGATGTGCAGGGGAGGGTCCGAAAGGCTTAGAGTATGGACCAGTGCTCAATGAATTTTTGATGCAGGGAGTCGACTGGTCCTCCAGAGCTCACCAGACACGGCCTGTCAAGGCCTGTCGCCGGAAGGTAGAAGCTTGAGTGAGCTGGCCTCGGTCGCAGGAGCGCATGTTGCTACGCATCTTCTCGGGCGACGATGAGCCCATCAATGAGCTACCAGAGACAGAGCAGAAGCCCAGAGAGCAATGGGGTGACTGTTGGTGACTGGTTGTTTGGTCGGCGAAGCCCGAACCTGAGAGTGTAGAAGCACTGCTTCCCTTCATCACCTGAAAGCCCATCAATTTGGGCACGAAAACACGTCCGCGTCGGTGACGAAAGGCAGATGCGACCCATTACGGCGGTTGTGAGCGACGTATGGCGGACCCACGTTCAGCTGAGCTGAGGACGTTCTTGAAGACCTTCGTGACCTACGGCGGCCGCAAGATGGACGACTTGTTGAGGCCCATCCGGCGAACCCGAATCCGGGCATGAAAGTATTGAGGAGTGCGGTCAGACGGAGTGCGGTCGTGAGGTTTTCCTCCGGCGAAGGGCTTTTGGACCGAAGCAACAATTGTAGCAGTTGCTAGATCTCGGCCTAGCAATGTCCTCTATAAGATTGGACCTAGGACCAGGGGTGGTGTTTAGTTGTTTTTAGTCCCATCCAGGGGCTGTGGATGTGACAAGGGCCCCCAACTCCTTCACTCCTTCCTTCGTTCGGCACCCCCGAGCTCTGTGACTCCTGGCTTGCCTCGTCTCTTCACTTTTCGCGACCTTTCTGGAAAGGCCCACGCCGGCCGACGCCGGCCTCGGCCTCCGGAACGACGTCCCGGTTCCGACGCGTCGTGACGCGGGACCCTCCTCGACGGACCGAAGCGCCGAACGGGTGGCGCGGGTGGCGCGGGTGGCGGACGACCGGTCGCAGGTGGCGCGTGCTGGCGCATTTAGCTGCGGTGCTGATTGCAGCGCCTGAGACCTCATTGCTTCACAGCCTCCGGATCATGATGCTGGACCGGAAGACGTAGTCGGGGCAACAAGATGGAAGACTCCTCTGGCTGTTTGGAGAAGGGTCTTTTTGTTTTCGAGCTTTCAGGATCTTTCTGTCACCCCTTCCAGGTTTTTGAATGGCTTGTCTTGTGTCATGGGGGCGAAAGATCTGTGAACCGAGTCAGTTTCGTTTCGTGTCACAAACTCCATGATTGGTTGGTGTTCACGTGCGGATTGCTGTTCACTCTATGCTCGGGAGTGACAACTGTGTGTCTCCTAGTGAACGAGACGCACCCGAACGAAGTTGCAGAGAAATGGAACCCACCTCAGACATCCTCCGAGGAGTTTCGGTCGTTTCGGAGGCTCCAAGTGTTCCTTCGGTGGATGAAGGGGTGCTTTTTTGGAGTATCTCCATCTCATTCCATCTCAATCTAATCACAGTTCTTGCATCGAACTGCCTGCTCAGTGGTGTTCATCATGCTTCCATGTTTTCCAGTCGTCTTCGGACAACCGCCCCGACTCCGATCGGTGGTGGCTCCCACCGATCGGATCCCGTTGACCAGCACTCCTTCGTCTCTCTCCATCCCGTCGTGCCACGGCGGCGCCAGGAGCCTGAGAAGCTGACCAAGGATCACCCGCCCTTCTTGCCGGCGATGGATGAAGATATCAGGCGCGGCTTCGCCTCCAACCGGCGCCTTCCTTTTCGCCCAATTGGGGGCCGTGGTGAGTCGGTTGGGGGCCAGCTCAGCCCGCGCCCGGCGAGCACCAAACGGGGCTTGGAGGCTGCCGGAGCAGCGGAGCACGTTTTCGGGTCCTGTCCTTCCGAAGACAACGCGCCCCGAGTGGGACCCGGAGAGGACCGGAGACTGGGAGCCCTGTGGCCATCTTCCAATTTGGGATTCTGGAGTCTGGAGAGCCCTCCCCACCACGGGGTCATGAGTCGAGTTGACCCAGCAGTCGGACCACTTCCGCTCACGCAAAAAAAAGGACGCCTCGCTGGGCGGACACCTTTCTTCGCCCCCGGTGGAATGGACATCGAACATCCTTTCATCGCTGTGCTTTTGGATCGTTTGAACTCCCGCTCCGACGCCGAACCGTGGCCGACGCCGTTTTCCGCGCGCCACTTGCGCCGGCGGACGCCACGTTCAGCTCCCGTTCAGGAGCAGAGTGCTGAAGGCGAGTGGGGGGGTCGAGTGGATGGCGATTGACCCCAGGTCGAGGTAGAAGGCGATGAACAGTTTCGTTCAATTCGATGCAGCGCTGCAGCTCTGCAACTGGGCTCTGCAGCTTTGGCTCTGCATGTTCTGGACTGAGAAGGTCGACGTCGCGCGGCAGACGCCTCGCGCGGTGCATGTATCTCCGGCGGCTCGTGCCAGGCGCTGGTGGAGAGAGGTGAGAACATTTGGAAGTTCAAGAGCCATTGGTGGACACCCAGCTGTGAGCTGTAGCCATTGGGGGGGGTGAGGTTGATGGGATGAATGGGATGGGATGATGGACAGAATATGAAAGAAGAATGGGAGGATGATGGGTGATGTGTCGCAAGAAGCACCGAAGACGGACGACAGATGTATCTGCAGGGTAGTAACTGGGTGCCATTCACTGAATGGCGCGGAAAAGGGCGCAGTCTGGTCCGCCGCGCTCCGCACCGCACCTCCGCACCGTTACACCCGGCAGTGTCGACGATCCCGGATCCTCTTTTTCACCACACCACGGAAAGGTTGGTAGAGGAAAGGCCAGACAGTCAGGTTTACCTATGTTTTCGTTTTCGGTTTCGTGGATGCTCCGAATTCCTTGCGGAGACGGCGAGTCCTCATCCTTCAGGAAATGCTCCTGTGGCTTCACCTTCTTCATCGGTCCGGGCACGTTGGCATCGGCGATCCGAACGGGGGGGGTCGAAACCAACGTGAGACGTGAAACGCAGTGTTTTGGGAATGGTCATGAGCTGGTAATCACGTAAGTAGAGTATCATGATCACCTGCTAATACCAGGTTATACCGTGGTTTTTGCCGGTAATAACCCTGGTGTTGCTGCTATTCTATCATGCGTAATGATTCTGATTTGTTCGAAGCAGATGTGGCAGACTTGCCACACAAACCAAATGCAGCGGCCATCAGCGTACAAGAGGTTTCCATGCCATGAGGGTCTTGCTTCACGGCTGGAAACGGTTGTTCAGTTGTTCAGATACGTACAGTATCCCTGCGAGTCAAAAACTGGTCTTTCGGTGACCCGAAAAGGCATTTCCCTTACTTCAGTCCATCAAACATGTAGTCGAACTGGACTTCTACCTGGACCCTCCAAGGGGTGCCTAATGGAAGCCTATAGGTAGTGTGGGGTAGTCCATTGGACACCCCTTGGAGGGTCCTGGTATAGGGGTATATATAGTATAATATTTGGTTTAGCTGCTTATTGTGTTTCCCTTGTATGTTTCGTGCGAGTGGAGAATGGCAAAAGGCCTGTCCAATGGGTCAAGAAAGAGCCGTGGGCAGCAAGGGGGAACCTCTTTTGGGAGAATCAGGAGACATGAGCAACCTCATCCCCTCTCCTCCCACTCCTAGGTGAGTGCGGCCGTCCCATGGCAGGGCGCCCCAGATGGGACCGACGATGAAAGGATTTTCGGAGACAGCACATTGGCACGTTGGCACCTTGTTTCCCATTCAACATTCTGCTCATCTTCTGCTCATCTGAAGGCCCGACGGAATGAGAGTACCACTTGGGTCCTCAGGGCGTTCAATGATAGACATCTCAGATCAGATCCAATGGCTTTGAGAGTAGTTTGCATTTCACCATCTTTCACCCTCCAGTCTGAAGAAAGGGCTCTCCTCCAGATGCAACTCCGCTCCATGTACTTTCGCATGCTTTTGTTTTAAACGTGCATGACCGCCACCTGGCTGAGGAAGTGGCCAAATGCCCTGGATGCAGCCTCAAGATCGGCGGAAGGGACCACAACCAGACGGAGCACACCTTTCAGGATGACGAGAGCGACCCTCGGCCGCGAAAGAGAGGCACCTGCACCCCTTTCCAGGTCTTTCTCCCATCCCGGTGGCGCCGGGACCTTTGAGGCGTGAAACCCCCCCGGTTCAGACCCGCTTGAGACGAAGCGGAGACGAGACGACGCCACTGACGCCCTCAGACCCAACACGACAGCTTGGGGGTCCGGTTTGTTGCTCGGTTGCTGTGCCCGCTGAGCCAGAGCAGCTCTCATGTGTGTGTGTGTGGGTGTCACCCCCTGTACCAAAGCCAATGGGAATTGAGTTAACAGCAAGCCAATGTCAGAGTGTTTTTTTTTTCCGGTCTGACTCACTCGGGTGATGCCGAGTGAAAAGGACCTTCCTGGTGCCGAAGCATCGTCTGACTTCACCGGTCCGGTCGAGACAGTCCGGGAGACTTCACCGGCGGCTTCGCCTCTCTCAGAGGTCCGAAGTCCAGTTGGAATTTGAGGCTGGTGAAGTAGAGGACATGAACTCCAGGGTTGACTTGTTGTTGACTTGTTGTTGACTGCTGCTGTTGTTGTCGTCGTCTAATCTCTCATGAGGTCTCCTGTTTGACTCTTCGTTCCGGTTCCGCGCAGCCAACGGGCGCTTCTCAAAACACCCTCTTTTCAGCGACACGTCACGACGTCTGCCGAGGATCGTTCCCCTTGGGGCTATGTGCTACCCATCGCTGAGAAGGACGAGAAGCACGTCTCCTTCCGAGAGGCCGGGCGGGCCACGGCGAAGCGGCGAAGGCCACGTTTCGGCCTAAAGAATGGATGAACCTCTTCCCATCTATTCCCTCCTCCAGTTGCCAGTTGCCCCCCCCCAAGGACCTCTCTGAAGGAGCTCTTCGATTGGAGCATGAAATCCAACCGTTTGCATGCCAATGTGCCACATGCCAATTGTTTCGCTTTGGACCATCCTTGGTCAGGTGCAGAGCAGCTCGGCGCGCGCCATCCGCTTGATGCTCCATGGCACCATGTACTTGGGCATCATTGCTGCTGCGTGGCTCGGACCCATCAGATTTCCAGGCCCCATGAAGGGTTTGGCCACCGCAGAGAGCACCATGGCCGCCACACCCGAAAGCGGCAAGAACATGGGAAGCGGAGGAGCCTAAAGACAACCATGGACAAGCGTAATTATGCAATGGGTTTGAAGTGGTCTTTCGATGTGTATAGTTCTTTCCTGTCAATTTGACAATTCACATTTGGCATATATTTACTGTCTCAGACCGGGGCCCAACAGAATTTGTTTAACTCTTATATAGCACCAGCAGGCGCATGTCTTTCGCGCGTGTCTTTCGGCAGCTGAAACCACCGTTTGAGGAAGCCGAAGATGCCGCGACCTTACACCTCTCTGCAGAACGAGTCCATGTGTACCTTGGAGGGAGTGCATAAGACGGAAGGAGCCGAAGGAGCCGAAGGTGGTCCTTCTTGGGTGAAACATAACTACTGGGTGACTACTTCGTGTCCTTAAAGATCATCTTGTTTTCCTTGGGTAGAACTTACTGTACACGATGTTCGCATGTCCTCCCTACGAAGGCCGCCAGAAGGATTCAGCAGCAACATTGGTCCAGCATGCAGGTTGAATTTCTAGGAACGGGGTCCTGATCACCACCTCCCCGTCGTAGTACTCCTTGATGCTGCGAAATCGCAGCGTACGTGCAGCCCTTCTGTTCACAGCTGGGAATGCAAGACTTCTTCTGTTCACCCAAAAACCACTGCGGACGGATCGGCGAACATCACCAGTTCGAACTGCGCAGTTCGTTGCGGGCAGACCATTCGACCCCGAGTGGGGGGGGGGAGCAGGTGTAGACGTTCCTCAGGCACTCTGAAGGATTTGCCCGAGTCGGAATATATCGGCAACCACTTCCACAACGACTGGAAGTCCATGGTGGAAATCCTCAGCAGCAACACGGAGGAGGGTGAGTGGAAACCGCACGGAAACGGCCTCAAGCCAGGTTGAGGCTGTGCGGCAGACTGGGAATGGCCTCCACCCTAGAAGCATTTCCTCCAACCTACTATGGAATCCCATTGCTATCTATGGTTGTATATTTCAAAAAGGAAACAACCTTCTATGTTGTTTCTATGTTTTTCTGCAATGTACAAATATGGTAATTGAAAAAGCACATAATTCCGTAGCTGGACCAGCCTGTCTGTGTGTCCTGGCTGGAGATTCCTAGAGATCCATAGAGATCGGGCCCAGGGCGTAGGGTAGTCCAGCCAGGACAGACAGACAGGATGTTCCTATATATGGGATATCTTACACGATCGGGGGGGGAACCCGTTGATCTCACCCGTGCACCCCAGCAAGTTCCGCCAAAGACCAGCCAAGTTCCCAGCCAACGATGACACCTTTTGGAGGTCCCCAAAGCCGTAAATGACCAGCAAGAGTTGAAAGGACACTTGACCAGAAAACACGAAGACACTGTAAAACAACCCATTAGCAGACTAGCACGTGTGCTTCTTTCACTTATAGAATTTGCCACACACGGTCAACCCCAACTCGGGGGGCCGCTGGGGGTGCGCGGGCGTCGGCGTGCGTGCTCGCGCGCGCTTGGCTTGGCTTGGCTTGCCTCCGCAGAAACAGGCTCGCGGCCGGGTGCGCCAGGATCTGGCGGTTGGACTCCACAACCTGTTCCTGAAAATGAGCAGCTTGGGCGCGTTCACGGAAGAAGGGCGAAGGGGATAGCTGATAGGGCGCCCAGCACGAAGAGACCAGAAGCTGAAAAGCCAGAACATCAAGGAACTATAGACCTACAGAACTGAGAGACACAATCCTGGTGGAATTTGGACAGTTTTGGGGTCAACTGGGCAGAAAGCACACCGTTCTTGCAAGTTCGTCTCCGTTTTTTCATGTTTTTTCAGCATTTTCGGCTGACCCAAAGCACTGTGGAAGATTTGCGCAACACCTATTTGCCTCTTCATACCAGCAGTTCGAAAAGGATGCCTATTGCTAGGGTTGTCCATTACCCACTCACTTAGAGACCCCCCCAAAACCACCCCCTTTGTGACTCCTGGTGCAATATCTCTTCATGTTCTTCAGCTATCTTCTGTCACTTCCCCTCCAAACCGAAAAAAGAGACCCCCCTTCTCCCGGACCCCAAAATCAGGACGACCCCTGTCCGTCAAACCCCCCACACCGGACCGGGGCCGGCCCTACCGGGGGCCCACGGACACCCCCACACCGGCCGCGTGGCACGCAGCGCTCACGCGCTCACGAGGCGAAGATGGAAAAGATGAACCCTTGAAACCGACGGAAATGGGATCGAAAGCCAGCTGGGGCGTTTTGACCCTGCTGCAACGCGCCTCGGACCCGAGAAGAGCGAGCGGCAGCGGTCAAAGAGGACCACCCCAGCAACGGCCACGGCCACAAAACCCCATTCTGTCGTCTTCTTTCACAGCATGCCAACCCAATACGAAGAGCGCGGTCGCCTTCAACATGTCTGGGTTCGCGAGACCTCGGCGTCCCGGTTCACCCTTGGCCTCCCCCCTTCCGGGTACGGATGTTCATGTCTCCCAAAAGCGTCTGAGAGAGAGAGAGAGAGAGAGAGCGAAAGCGTCCGGGTCTCCTCGTGCGAGGAAATTCCTGGGAAGAGACCATCGAATCCAAATACCTGAAAGGCTTGATCAAGAACCTCGACGAATCCCTCCAGGCCTGACGGTGAGCAGGGGAAGGGATGTGAGACTCATCTTACACATCAGTGACATTGCACCATAAGCATCTTACACATACCACACATCATCAAGATATAATATGATGTTTCTATAGCTTCTAGTTGCTAGTAGCGATGGCCTGAACCCCCCCTAGTAGCAATGGCCTCCAACCTAGTTAGCTAGTCTAAGACTAGGATCTATTCACATAGCTTCCAACCTGCCCGCCCTTCAGGACCTCTACAAGAAGTGGGGTGGCGATCAAGAGGACGGGAAGTTCGTGGCCGAGCTCAAAGAAGCCGCCGACGTGCGCCCCTGCGCCGATGAAACACGGAGGGTGGACCGGTGGTGTGAACATCAGTCGGAAGACATAGGTAGAACCCCGTGGCCGCCGTGGCCCTGGCTGGGTTGACTGGTCTATTGCATTCTATTGCTTCTTTCGAGTCGACTAGCTCCCTTATTTGAGCTAAACACCCATTTCTTTCTCTTTGAACATCGGGTGGTAAAGACACCAGGTCTTCGGTGACCCTTCGGCGGTCGACGTTTGAAGTCCGCGCGCCAGGTGAAGGACTTCCCACCACAGAAGAGAGAACAAGAGATGCCACAGCTTTGGGCCTATCGTTCTCCAGTGACCCTAGACGCATTGCACAACAAGAGCCATGGCTGAAGAAGAAATCGTCTATCGCCGAGGCCGGGAGGAACGAGCATGATGAACGTCTATCTCGCTTTTTTTGGGCCAAGAACCACAGAAACAATCCCAAAACACGACCTGTCTGGGACTGCCAGTTTGGACTGCCGCCCCAGCCAGACCCCTCATAGGCCCACCCCAACTGATTGGGTCCGCAGTCCCAGACAGGTCGTGTCTGGGAATGACAGCCATAGGACACCCTCATGGCCTCACCAGACCGTGTTTTCAGAGACGGGCATCTCTTGCAGCGTCTCACTGCAGCGGCAGCCAGCTTAGCCATCCGCGCTACTCGCTCACGGCCCAAAGCGAATCGCGGTCCTCGCGGTGCCCCGTCCTGCGGGAGCCGAGGATTGGCATCGCGCACAACGCCAAGGAGAACTTCCCGGTGCTGTGTACCATCCTCCAGAATCCGCTCATCAACATTCTGCTGCTTGGGCCACAAGTCCCCCAGAGTCGAGCTTGTCAAGACACCGCGGAGAGGTGTTCAACGGAAAAAGGTGAGTTTTTTGGGAGAAATGGTCCGGTCTTGTCGAAGGGCTGGAGAAAAGAGCTGAATAATACCCAGGAGGTTTCTAAGGAGTGGTTGAGTGGTTCATGGACACCCGGAATCCGTGGTACTGGACTGTATCATCTCTACTGGAGTGTCCCAAAGAATCCCTTTTCTATCAGACAACGGTGAACAGATGCCTGGTGCAACCACATCAAAAAGGATGTATTCCTATTATGATGTCATATATGCCCTAGGTCCGCCTCTTTGGTGCACCAATTCTTGGGCCGGCCTGGGAGTCAAAGACTATGAACAGAATGGTCTTTCGCTGACTCGGTGACCCGAGCGTCCAGACCAACGTCCTTCACATCACTTGGTCCACATCACATCGTCGAACTGGACTTCATCGACGGGTCATATGATTTCCAGTCACACGTCTGGACGGCGCCATCGACGACCGTGCAGACTGCAGGTGTCTGGGACCCCCGGCTCCGTTCGACCCAGGTCCGGCTCTGTTCGGCTCCGTTCGGCTCCGTTCGCTGGTTCCTGTTCGCCGCTGCGAGGCCCGCCTTGGGCACTCTGGTGGGCGTCTTCGAGTGGCAAGCGCTGTGCATCAACCAGTTCAGCGGCCGCATCACCAAGGCATGGACGGACTCCTAAGGTGGATCGGATAGGTCTTCGGTTTCGTTCAACTTATGTTGCCCCCTTCAAAGGGGGTCTCCAATGGAAGCCCCTACACTAAGGGACCTCCAGACAGGACACCCCTTGAAGGTCCAGGTATGTTTCGCCCTTATTTTTCCCCAAACAGTTTACTGTTAGGGGTTCTCAATTCTTTCTTAAGATGTGTCCGCCCTTTGCGTCACTGCTGGTGTCCGCCCTTTTCCTGTGGCCATGTACTCGCTTGCAACCCTTCACATTTGTCTCCCAGCTGCTCTGCCCTGCAATCCTTTACATTTGTCTCCCAGCTCTGGGCTGCGCGTCGCTTGCAATCGTTTACATTTGTCTCCCAGCGCTGGGCTGCTGTGGCTCTGGACGTCGCAAGCTCTAGTTGCAGAGTGTTCCGATTTTGAAAACACAAGCCGTTTGGGGTCTACGGTGGTGTAATTTTCCTTTAAGACATGGGATGAAATAGGATGGCGAAGAGGTTGGGTGTGCTTTTTGGGGATGGATGCTGGATGATGTCATTGGATCTTTGAATTCATGGGCCATCACCGCCTCGACTGTGCCTTCTCGACGTGCGTAGGCCGCGGCCGGGGAAATGACGGTGGGCGAAGTGCTCGAGCAGGTGCAGTGCTCGGGGACTGAACGACCCGCGGCGATCACGAGGTCGTTCATCCGGAAGATTCGCCTGGGAAGAGGTCATGAACATGCCCGTGGCACAAGCGTAGCACTAGGGGGTGCCTCCAAAGACCTCATAAGACCTCCCAAAGCTCCGGTTCCAAAGACCTCCTCAGACCTCCTACAACTCTAAACAGAGGCAATGGGTGAGTGACCGGGCTGAGACACCTAGTTTGACCGATGTGGCCTTGGCACCGAGAAGGTGCCGCGGAATGAGACGGAGAAGCGGCAGTGGCGTCAGGTGCGGTACTGCAAACACGGGAAGCGGATCGGCTCCCCAATGGGGGCAGCTGAGGATAGATGCATCAGATGGGGGGATTTGTTTTTGGGGGCGGATATACCTGGACCCTCCAAGGGGTGCCCTGTCTGGAAGCCTATAGGTAGTGTGGGGTAGTCCATTGGACACCCCGACAGGAGGGTCCTGGTATAGACCTTTGTGGTTTAGATAGAGATCCTGTAGATTAATAGATCCATATAGCTCCTGGGGTCTCCACAGACACAGAGGCCCACGCACCCTTTTGGGGTGGATCAGGCTGATTGGAACTTCGAACATCTCAAAAAACTCTTGTTGGTTGCGATGCGGCAACCAATTCTGCGTCGTCTCTTGCCAGCCAGAGATGGAGCTGCTACAACCTTGCTATGTGTGAAGTGGGTACCGATCTCATTGAAAAGTATGTCGGAGTGCTAGGCGTTCTTTCCATCTTCCACAGAAAGACAAGATTGTTAAGTGAACAAGTGAAGAGATGATCAAACAATTTGCCCGGCCATGTTTCCCATGCTTTCTTGGAATGCAACTAAGCCGTGATCTTGTGGCACGATGCGCATGCGATGCGCAACGCGATGCGAAGCCGTGAGGCCTTCAAAAACTTCGAGAGGGCCTGGCGCCTGGCCATGCCCTACTGTGAGTATGAGTGGCTCAGAAGGATTTGACTGGGGGGCAGCCTTTTAAGAGAACAAGGGCACGAAACACGCCCCAAAAAGGATCGCATGGCGGAGAACAACTCTGAGTTTTTTTCGCCTAGATTCCATAGATGTTCATCGGTTCTTGGCGCCATGTTGCAGTGCAGAAGGGAGAGACTCGACGCAGATCGGACCCCACTGGTCGCCCCAGCGTCCGAACCGCCGGATCTGCCGGTCACGGACCCTCAGGTGCTTACAGATCTCCGAGAACATGCGGAAGTACCAACTCTCAGAAGACGATATGATGCTGATGTGCATTCCAGACTTCAAGGTGCGAGAAGACGACTCATTTGGCGAGTAGAGTCATATAGACATGCGGGACGAGTCTACGTATGCGGACTCTACCTCTTAATACTAGATATACTAGTATAGATCTATAGATGTTTTTTCTCAGATGAAGCGAGGAGCTGGAAGATTTTTGCGGAAGTCTGCGGAAACGACTTTTTGAAAAATGACACGTGTACATACGTGTACCATGTGGGGCAACGTATTTGAATGCTCGACCACTTCGAGAAGCTCGTGCTTGGGAGGATGATGGCATGTATGCATTAGCTGTGATGGATTGGCTGGTGGCGCAACACAACGAACTGGTGCAGATCGTGGCAGGACTGCCCGAGTGTTTTTGAAGCCATGAGATGGACAAGATGTCTAGAAAACCAGCGATGGCCTCCAACCTAAGAGCCATGGCCTTCCACCTAATAGCGATGGGTGTCAATTTCATATTTCAACAGCTGATGTCGTCCTCTAAGAATCCTTCGACCCTTAGCAGAGGTGACTCTGAATACCGACCTTGTCCATTGTGAGGCTAAGCCTTTTCCACAGCGAGACACTCGATGCCGCCATCGATCGAGTCCGAAACGGCTCAACGGCTCCACATGTGCCGCTTCGTTGCGTCCGTGGCGTCGAGGAACCTTAGGCTACCCCGCACGGAAGGTGTCGTCCCGACTGCTGGCGCAGCACGATGTGTCTTGGCGCGCAGGGTCCGACCGACCGAGCGGGAGCCGCGAACCTTCTCGAAACTGCGCGGGTTGACAGCTTCGACAGCTTCACGGGTTCAAGCCGCTCTTGTCGAGAAGGATCTGTACCAGGATCAAGAATGGATTGGCAGGTACCGCAACAGCTTGGTGGTTCCCGCAGAGGTTGGTGGTTGGATGGTGGGTGTTTGGGTTGATGGTTTTTGGGATGGTTTTGGGTCCGCGCACCGAAGAAGAGTGTCACAACTCCCGGATTCTCTGGCCAAAAACACACAGGAACTGCCTCGAAGGTCGCCGGAGACGGATCAAACACCGGAGACAGAGTACGTCGGTACGACGGTGACCGTGGGGACCGTGGGGAGATTGCTGGGACCGGTTGGGTGCGCGAATGACACGTCGGCGAGAGCGAATGAATGCGAATGACGCGAGGTCATCAAATACAACAAGAAGGAGCTGATGAAATTCCTCAGCAACCGCTGCGCCACATGGGGCTCCGTGACCGCACCGTTTGTTGTTTGTTCGACGATGTTTCACTTTTTCCCCAAGATCAGCACTCACTCAGATTCAGCAAACATTTTGGGAGCGCTAGAGTCTCCTTTGGAGATGTTCATTAATTGAGTCTCTTTTCCTGAAAGGGATTTTAAACAAACTTGATCATTTCCGAGTCACTCAGGATATCGACCAAAAAAATGGTGCTTTGGGTTGGCGCTTTGCTATTCTACCAGATGTCATGGATGTCATCTTGTTTTTGGATTTGTGTTCAATCTTGAACCCTATTCAATTCAGACTTCGCTCATATTACTTTGCTTTCAGACCGGCGAATTCCGCAGGTGTGGGCGGGAAGCTGAACTTGGACCTGAAGCAGGTTGAGCAGCACCTTCGAAGAGAGCTGAACAGGCGCAACACCAGCCGCACCTTTGGGTGAGTCATAGTGTGAGTCACAAGCATCCAAACCTGCCTGGTGGAGCGGTTTTTGCTACTGACCCGCCAGCCCATGATTCTTTCGTCGGACTTGTTCTTCTGTTCCACTGGATTCCACGCGGTCTTCATGATTCAGAGACTTCCGACGTCCTGAAAACCCTCCAAAACGATCCCTCCCTTCCTCCCCTCCTCCCCCTCCGCCGAGACCACACTCGCCTAGTGAAAAGCCGCTTCCTTGAACCGCTTCCTCGACCGTGGCTTCCGTGGAGGGTTTCCGGGCGCGGCCTGGCGCGGCCTGGCGCGGCAGGCCTGAAGTCACCATCGAGATGCGTGGCTTCCAATGGCTGGGCGACTCCTTTGCGGCCGGCAACGAGCTGCGCACGGTGGGGAGCGGAGAGCGGGCGTCCAACGCGGAGGGTGGGAGGGTGGATGGAGTTGGAGGTTGTCAGCTTTGCTTGGAGGTTGCCTTTAAGATCTTTAAGATCCTTTATGATCCTTTTCATTCTTTGCCCTTTTTTGTGGCTGAACAATTAGGATGATATCATATGACACATGAACGGCTTGACACAGTTTGAGCGAACTCTACATGTATACGCAACAGCGGGAGCTCCTACCAAAGACATGCTTTGCATTGCTTTGCATCGCTGCCCTCGGTGCAGGTCATCAACCAGCGGGAGCTGCTGCCCGATACAATCGACCGATTGAAGGTGGAGATTCCATCTCCTGCTCTGGCAAATGCCTGCTTGCAGAAGGCCGTCACCCGCGCGTTGGAGTCTTTTTGCGCTGGCGAGCAGGCCAAAAGCTTGTCTTGGAGGAAGCTGAGACCATGAGAAGATGGAGTTCATGACCCTGAGATGGAGTTCATGAATGTTCACAAAGAAAATGCCCACTGATGGGTCTTGAGTGGATGTTCAGATTTCATCAGTTGAATATTGGATGATGTTCATTCCACATTAAATTGATGGATCTTCCATAGACAAGTCTAGGGTGGAGGTGACTGTGCCCCGTCACTGAGCAACTTGGCCAGGTGCAAATGTCCATCTCCTTCATCTTGAAGTCTGGTAGCAGCTTAGGTACTGAGAAGTCAGGCCCGGGAAAAGTGACGCGTGTGATGTACAACAAGTAGAAATGGACACCGCAAGTAGAAGGGCAGAACATGATAAAGGAAGACACAATCAAAGACTGGCACCACACATGGTCAGCACCCTCATCGAACTCATCGAAGGTCGGAAACGATCTCTCCTCCATCTTCGGTCCATTTGGGACCGTTCGTCCGCCGCCCCACCGGTTGAAACCACCCGCGTCCTCCGTGTCGTCGTCCGTGTCGTCGTCCGTGTCGTCGGTCGTCGGTCGTTGGGAGGCGAGATGCTACTGAGCGACTACATGCGTTCGGTCCTGGCAGAAAGCAGCGATGCCCAGAAAGCGGACATGGTGGGAGGGCCTCGGAGGGACGGTTCGGTGGAAGAAAAAGAGCCACCGGGGAAGGAGATGACGTTGGGAGCGAACATGACTTGGGGGGGCCCCGTATGACTTGGTTTCTTGCTTGGATCGGGCCCGTCCTGTGAACATACCGTGGCATTGCAGCCCATCAACGTTAGGCTTTTTCATCCTTCCTTCATCACACAAGAGTGTGAGTGTGTGAGTGTGTGTGCTTTTTAAGAGGTTCGAACGTCATGTTTTTTTGTTCTTCTTTTTATCCAACACTGAACCCCCCCACCCCAAGCTGTCCCCAAGCACTTCAAGCAGTTTCATCACCCGAAACACCGGTCCTTCCCCCCGGGTGGACCACCCGAGGCCCTGAGACCTTCATGTCCGCGGCGGCACGCAGCGACGTGCATTTGTGGCACGTGGACGCCCTGGTGAAGGTGCTGAAGCAAATCGTCAACAAGGATCCTCCGGTCACGATCACGTGAACGTCGGCTGTTTGGCGGCGGCAACAGCGGAGGGTCCGGTCGAGGTGGGGGGTTGGCGGTAGGTAGGGGTCTGTGGTCTGTGGTATGGTATTACGTATGACGTACTGAGCGATAGAGAGAGAGAGAGAGAGCTCGGTGTGTTCTTTTTTTTTTTTTCTTCTTTGGGTATTTAGGAAGGGCTCAAGATCGCTGAAGTGACGCACTTCGGAACCACTTTTGCCCCAGTCGTTCAAAGAAAGACGAACTTTTCCCGTTTTCTGTGCTTCACGTCGCCATAGTGGCTTTGGGCAGCCCCAACTGGCACCGGAGAGAGCGAAGGCGGAGGTCAAGAGCACGTGCATACATACAAAAGCACCAACATAAGCTACGCTGCTCAGGACAACGATTGCTGCACGTTCTGAGGTGCAAGTCAATCCTTGAAAGCCATCATAGCAGGCCACGATACGCTTTGAGGTGCGGTATGTCATGGAAGAACGGCAGATGGAATGGCAATGCCCGAGCGGAAGCTTGGAAGAATGCCTGGATCAAGGAGAACAAGAGACCTTCTCAAGAGAAGCCCAAAAAAGAGAAGGGCGACAACATGGTTCTCCGGTACCACGACGGCTCAAAGATCGATACCTCCGTGGGAGGTACTACATCTTCGGGGCCGTCCTCGCAATCCTCTGGCTTGCAAGAGGAGAACAAGAAGCTGCGAGAAGCCATCAAGGCTTTAGCACAGAAGGCAGATCTTTCCGAGGTCGAGTCAGCAGACGAGATTCGAAAGCTGGTGGAGAGCGACCCCAGGGAAGCACTTCGCGAACAGCAGAAGGAATTGAACAAGTTAAAGAAGGAGCTGACGAAGAAGGAAAAGATCGAGAAGCAGCTGAAAGAGAAACAAGAGAACCATGGTGCTTGGAGATCGGGCATCATGGAAGGTGTCAAACGAGCAGATGCCAAACACCTCGAAGAGATCAAGAAGCTCAAGGAGGAACTAGTCCAGGTAGAAGAAGAAAAGGAGGACAAGGAGAAGAACATGGACACTTCCAATGGGGAGGATGGCACAGTAGCTTCGAAGCTCGAGACCATGAATCGTCAGATGTATCAGATGGCCTCCTATGTGGAGACCATCGAACAGCGGAATCAAGATCTGGCATATCAGGTTTCATACTGACAGCTGTCAAGGGCAATGCGGAGACATTGCCACACGATTCTCCTCAAATGGTGAAGCCACCTTCGGCGGCGAGATTGGCAAGTGTCTCGACAGAACGTGTCTCCCGGAATTCAAGAGACAGGTCACGCTCCCCATGTCGCATCGAAGACCTGGAGGCAGAAGTCGATCCATTGACACATCAGGCTGTCAAAGATGCGTTGGACATTCTTTCCCCAGAGCATCAGGAGCATGTATTAGCAATTGTTCGTGCCGAACCAGAGAAATTTCCAACGGTCGAGACCATCATCATTTTGACCCAACAGATGATGGCACAGGTGACCAAAATTCCCGAGGACCTCAAGATCGAGCCGATTGGAAGGGGTCCTTTGCAGCCCTTTTGGAACTCCAGGGAGATTTCCAAATCGGGATTGCATCGATCTGGCAAAGGAAGAGCCAAGGCCTTGCCAGCGGAAGTGAGTTCCTCTGCGAAAGGGGATACTCATTCCCCACTCAACGCAATGACAATATGAGTGAACCAGATGGGGCAATTGCCTGGTTCAACAGAGAGTGCGCCATCTTTGAAGGCAGCACCAATTTCTTTTTGAAGATCTATGACAGCTTTTCAGGCCTTCCTTTCTCACGATGGGGTGACAGTGTATGTTTCCTCAACGGTCTTCCTATGGGATTGGGACAATGGATCGCTGGCTTGAATGATGAGTGGTTCACTAGAGATTTGGGTTGTACCCAACGCGAGGAAGCTCCGAGCTTTCTACGACTCTGTTTTGGAAAGTGGTTTCAGCACTGTTCGACTGGCACAGACTGGCAGCATTTGTTTCTGCCATGCGGACGAACTGACACTGGCTACATTTCTGAGATGGCCCAATACCTTTTTGTCACTATGTTCCTGACTCCATTGCTTGCTTTGGTTATAGTATGCTGGGGTATGGAACTTTGTCATTTTGTTCGCGCTCCACTTTCTTTCCTTGATGGGGGTGGTGGACAACGATCGCTTTTCCTGCAACTCCACTATTGTTCGCTCCTCCATGGACTGATCTATACATTAGTGAGGGTAATGCTGGAATGTGGAGATGTGAAGCTTGAGGACGACGCCATGGCTAGTGCTGAATGGGGTGTGCATATCCTCGCAGCAATCCAAAAAGGTTTTTTTTCTGGCTTTTTGCTTCGTCACTTGGGGCTTTGACTGGTGGATACGGGTGGTTTCATTTCCGACAAAGATGTTCTTTCCCTTTGTCGAAGGGGGGCAAAAGCCACTTGTTCAGGTCCATCAGGAACCAAGTCGATGAAAATGGGTCTTCGTGCTTTGATTGTGTGTACCTGCATTTTGATAGAGGACAGCAATTGGATTACGCGCAATTTGGCTCATGAAATGCCTCATTATGAAAACTTTGATCCCTCTTTGCCTTGTGGGGATTATTGTTCCGTGCAACATCCTTGGGATGACAAAGAAGGCCATTGCTCTTGGATGCACCTGGAATCGCCATCAAGGAGAGCACGTTCCTTGAGGTTTGATGTGGAGCCCAATCGAGCATCTCAGTTTTGGGCAGCACTAGGACCACAAAGTGTCCTTGCTGTCGATGCAATTTTGTCCTTTGATACCAACAAACATGATATGGATGGAAAGGATAGGTGCCTAACAAGGGGGCTTGGTGGCTCACACCCCCCTGACCTGTCTGCTCCAGGGAATTTCTCCTAAATATTTGGACGACAGGGATACCATGACTGAAGAATTCTCGTTGATGCAAAGTTCGTCATGGGGGACGGCAGCTGGCCATGATGGCTACTCCTCCAGAGGACAAGCGTTTGATCGAGCATCAACTCCATCAGTTGTGGATACCCTGCCCAAAGAATTTTGGCAACAGATTCGAGTAACACAAGAGCAATTTTCAGAAGTTCACTTGTACTTGCATGGACTCAAAGGCAGACATGTTGCAACTCGGACTCTGAATGTCTATGACAAAAAGAAGAACATATTGCCTGGACTACAAGGTCGAATAGAACGACAGTGGCGGGACCACTATGATCGTAGGGAGTCCTTTGCGTTGCATCTTGTCGAGCCTCAACCGCAGAGCGCAGTGCTGAATGGCCAAGTGCATGTGATTATAGATTTATGGCCAAGCTTGCAAGGTTTTCCTGTACTCTCTCACTGGACTACTAGTGAAGAGCCGGGATGTGCATTACAATCACACCGGTTGCAAACCTTTTTTCCTTTTGATGAGATACTGCGAGAAGAGAATCTCCCAAGGGAATTGGTCCATGGTGTCAAAGTGACGTATGCACACAGAGGAAAACAGTATGGACGACATGACCATATACACTTCTTCAATGGTGACAGAATGGATTTTGAGCTCAACCTGGAACCTGCATGTTCCTTTGACAGTTCCACTGAGAGGCATTTCGTAGCTGACTTCACGATCGATCCGCTGCAGGATACCACGTTCCTGATGCAAGTTCGGCCAGTCATGGAAGACATGCTGACCCGACATGTTAGAAGGGTTCTTGGTGGTAACATAAGAGCGGATGTTCTGACTTGGACGCATCATGCGGAATACATCCAGCAGCTGCAGAGGGAATTGCGGATCATCACGCATAATCCCGATTTGCCACTCGGCCATAATATAAGAAGTCGATGGGCTCACACTTTTGGTCGTCGTCCTTGCTATATTTTCCAGTTTGGCCGTCCCCTAGCAGTGGTAGAGGACCGGAGCCACACTTCATTGTCACAACATTCACTGGACAAGGGTTGGTCCCTGCCTTGATCGAATATGAGACGGATAGGAGCTTTAAGCAGGCCAGTTTTGTGTTCCGAGTGAGAACCTGGCTATCTGTCCATCAGATTTTTGATCTTGTCAGCCCCCAAAACCAATGTGTTTGGCGTGCCGAGTGTACGCTTCGATGTGGTGCTGCTTTCTTTGAGTGGCACCAAGCTGTACCATTGTATGAGGGCATTTTGTTGAGAATGACTGAAATAGAAAGGGATGAAACCACTGATGAAAGTACTACCTGTGACAATAGTGATGAACTGGAACAAGCGTCTCGTGTTGAAACGGCAAGTTCACAGGGTCTGTCGCAGGAGATGGAACATGTTTCCTTCATGCAAAACGGTCCACCCTCCTGGCAAGAAGAATTTGAACTGGAGGAAGTAGCTTTCCAGCGTGCACTGTCGGAACTTCCTATTGCTGATGGAGGAACTAGAGCTGAGACAATGTGCACCATTCCAGCGGCAGTCATCTGCTAGATGCCAACTTTGAGCTCAGTGACGTCCCTACTTACATAGTCTATACTTGGGTCGTGAGTAATCAGGTGGCAGCCGCAGCAAGGGTTTGCGTGATTGACGCAAGGCGTTCGGCAACTCAAACCGTCCTTTTAGAGTGGAGAGACATCGAACAGGAGTGGCCCATCTCCTTTGCTGTTGCCGATCCGCAACCTCCACCTCTCTCCTTGAGACGTCGCCCTATTGATGTTGTTGGTTTGCTGCGTCAGCAGAGACTTCGCCAGGATAGGGTTTATCTTGTTGATATACTGTATGTAGGACAGCCAAGAAGGGTAGCTGTACTGTACAGCATAGGAGATCGTCTTCGAGAGCTGGTAGGAAAGGTAGGCCTAGGCCACTACTGCCAATTAGAAGGTGTTCGATGCCTCTTGACATGGTATGATGATAAGGAAGGCCAGGTATGGGATCTGGATGATGTAATCAATGAGAAACATGCCAGCGCCTTTCAGCTCCATCTACGAGGCCAGCCTTGTAGGAGACACCCGACTGCCACTAAGGGAAGCAGCTTCATGCAACATGGGGTTACCCGACGTGTATTGCAGTCGGTCTTGAATC